CTACTTCCAACGGAACTTTCCAAGGTCAACAAGTTTGCCCTCGGATTACCAGCGGACTTTGGTCTGATGGTCAAACAAGCGACCACTCTGAAAGCCGCCATTTGGGCTGCTAGGAATGTCGAGACCCAGATAAGAGAGAAAGGTCTGGAGAGAGCTGATGTTGGAGAGAAAAGGAAGCATGAGGGATCTTCAGTGATCAACAAAGAAAGAAAATTCTCGAAATCTGGGGGAAGAGATGAAGCTAAGTGGTGCGAGAAGTGTAAAAAGAAACACTTCGGGAAGTGTAGCGAGGAGATGACTTGCTACAAATGTGGGAAGACAAGACATTACGCCAACAAGTGCGCATCCAACAAAAAGGTGTGCTACGGATGTAACGAAGAAGGGCATGTTTCTAGAGACTGCCCAAAGAAAAACACACCGCCACAGCCAAGGGCATTCCACATGATCCTCGACGAAGCAGACAATCACGCGAGGAATCAAGGATGAGGATTTTATATCCAAAGACCAAGTTATGAAGTAGAAAGGCGAATAGTAACTTGTGGTTTAGCCTACTAGAGGCATAGTATAGGGTGAACTTGAACCTTTGTGTAATCGTTTCAAGAAATAATATAAACCCTGGTTTTGATATCTATGTGATATTTATGGTTTTAATATTTGATGTGTTAAATGATTGTGTGATTTTTGTATGGTGACTTGGTTAGACTGAGAGACAATACTTGTGACGAGTATGAGTAGGTGTGAATAGTAGTAGAGATCTATACTACTGGAAGCACGGGACTCACGCTTGGATCAGGAAAAGTCACAAGGTTACCAAGAAGCTAGTGATTGGTCTCGTTTTATTCAAGTATGTCGTTACCATCGTTTCGGTAATGACTAATGAGATGATTGTTATTCTGACCCTAATGGTCATATCAAATTGAGTCCGACTTCAATGAGTTTGTTACGTGGTTCGGAGAACCAAGTTCGAGGTAGCATCTGACTTAAGTCAGAAGATTGAAATCAATGCAACCAATAGCATCGCGCTTGTAAGTAGCTAGAGATGCTACATGCTAAAATGTGATTATATCACATTAGAACATGAAGGAAGATATATTCCATTCTGGAATTTGACTCTAAGAGACTTGAGTCTAAGCGTTGCATCATACGATGAGAGATCATTAGAGCATGACCCATCGGTCTGTTACAATAGATAAAAGAAAGTATTTATCCTAAGAAGAAGAAGGAGTCCACAATAAGGACTTATTGTGTAACTTGAAAGTTATGATTGAAAGTCCAACATAGTACGAAAAGCAGATGCAAGATTGAGCATCGTCTGCAGTCAGGAAGCCCTAGAGTTAAATACTCATTCGAAGAAAAATAGAAGTTACCTAGGATGAAAAGATAACGTATGGAATCATTATACAAGCTCTATTTCCGTTGATGATTCCGGGACGTAATCATCCTAAGGGGGAGATAATTGTAACGCCCGTAGATCCGGGCTAGACAATTTAGAGACGATAAGCGTCAAAAATGACTTTTTGATAAAATATTATTTAGAATGAATAATCTTAACTAAGTTGTAGTGGTCGTGGCAAGGTTTCCGAAAATATAAAGAATGCCGAAATCCGAGTTATAACGAAGAAGTTATGACATGTCGAAGTTTCGCGACAGAACCGGCACGACACAGTGCGACGTAAATAATGAATTTACGATAGAGCGATATTTAGCCTTAGTGATCTAAATGAAAGTCGTAGAGTTCGTTAAACCGAGAGCGTGCATAAAAAGAACGTCCAAATCTGACTTCGTATGAGGAAGTTATGATTTTTCTAAGTTTCAGCTTAGCAGTATGCAGCCCGAAGTTCGGATTTGAGATCGAGTGATTTCTAGTTGATACAATCTAAACGAGAATTGAAGATCTCGTCGATAATAGTACAACGTTGAAAGACAGACGAAAACGGACGTCAGATGAAGAAGTTATGAATTTCTAACGGAGTTTTCCTGTCCCGGCCTATTAAAAATATATTATTAAAAATAAATTCAGAATTAGCCGACGAAGTCTAAACGAGAGTGGTAGAGTATATTCCCACCTACGCGTGGATATAAAGAACGTCGAAAACGGAGATCGTACGCGAAGGTTACAGATTTTACAAGTTTTGGGCTCAAATCTCGAGAATTGGTCTGAAATGAACGCCATGCGTTCCGAGGGAACGCCCCGCGTTCGGAAATGTTGGGTCTAGGTTAGTCCACGTCGCCCACTAGTCCCATCCGGTGCACCGTCCGAGGCTGAGGTAAGCGCTGACGTCTGAAGCTACTGAACGCGCTGCGTACGAGCAGGGAACGCCCTGCGCTCCGGAACGCCCCGCGTTCCTCGCAGGTACGCCCTGCGTACGAGGAGTCAGCCAGCCCTATAAAAAGGGTGCGAAGCTTCCCGGAATTTTGTTGCTTTCCACTCATTTCTTTCACCTCGAAACACCGCTCAAGCCCCTCTAAACCACCCCGAAGCCCCGGTATCATCCCGACACCCGAAGCGAGTCCCGAAGCCCCAAAGATCCCGAGAAGTAAAGTTTCCGAGCCGAAACTCTGCCCGCGAGAAGCCCGGTTTTTGTGAAGATCTCCCGGTTTCACTGAAGAAATACTATTCTTAGAGTCGTAGTGCTGCCCGATCATCTTCTGATCAAGTGAGTGTGTAGTTACTTTCTTCTAACACATAAATATGAAGTATTTGCTATGAAATACGTGTTATGGGTTATGTATTGTTTGTTTATTTGTGATGGGTGTGGAATGGATGTTTTATACAGGTTTTTAATGATTTAAACTGTATATATATTTTATATCTACAAATATGTTGGGTAGAACATGGGTAGATGAAATATCTGGTGACTATGAGACGTAGTGTCTATTGTATAAACCCTGGTGACTATGAGACGTAGTGCCTATTGTATAAACCCCGGTGACTATGAGACGTAGTGTCTATTGTATAAACCCTGGTGACTATGAGACGTAGTGCCTATTGTATAAACCCCGATGACTATGAGATGTAGTGCCTATTGTATAAACCCTGGTGACTATGAGACGTAGTGTCTATTATGAGACGTAGTGCCTATTGTATAAACCCTGGTGACTATGAGACGTAGTGCCTATGGTATAAACTCTGGCGACTATGTGACGTAGTGCCTGTTGTATAAACCGTGGTAGCAATGGACCTTATGTCGATTCCTTAGGTCAATCCTTAGGAACGAATGAAGGAAGGATAGTCGGTTCTTAGGGTAAAACCTTAAGAAATAAAGAAGATAATGGGGATGGGTAATTGGATTGATTGTTTGATGATTGAATATAATAATTATATTATTGTGGGTTGAAAACCCTATATGCTCACCAGGCTCCCAAGTCTGACCCACTCAGTTTTCTTTGTATTACAGGTAACGGCACAAGAGTATAAATTGGTGGACTTGACGAGAGATTTTGGACAATAGACCAGTAGTTGTAAATATCTGTTGTAAGGTCTATTTTATACTGTTTATGCTTTTGGTCTGTATCGGAACATGTCATCCAGAGATTTTGTTATTTAATGAAAATACATTTCTTTAAAGAAATGCTTTGATAAATTCTTATCACATTTTGTTTTGGGAACAAATTCCGCAGCAGTTTTCTTTAAACGATTACTCTGATTTCAAAACAAAGCATAAACAAATCGGTCTTTTCTGGCCGTGAAAATGGGGATGTCACAGAGGTAATGGAGGCTGGAATGGGGGCCTGAAATGTTGCTTAAATAGGGTGCAAACCCTAAAGATTAGGGTTTCCCACTGGCAGTCCTACTCGTCGAGTTCATGCTTGGACTCGCCGAGTAGACTCTTTAAATCCCGCGTCTTTTCTGCCATCTACTCGACGAGTTAGGGCTACCAACTCATCGAGTGGATCAATTATATTTTTGAATAATTTCAATAATTGTGTACATGGAACGGGGGCGTTACATATACGACATATATAAATCACGTAATACTCAAATAATTCTCTTTATTTACTTCATAAAGGTTTACAATTGTCGACAATTACAATTACATCATTTTATTAATGCCTAGCGAGAAACACGGACGTTACAAATATGAATTTTAGAACCTTAATTTGTCACAATATATACCTTTTGAGTTTCACTTATTCCTTAATCCAATACTTTTACTGACTTTTGTGTTCCTCCTCCCTTACTTATTCCTTTTGAGTTTCACTTATTCCTTAATCCAATACTTTTACAATTGTCGACAATTACAATTACATCATTTTATTAATGCCTAGCGAGAAACACGGACGTTACAAATATGAATTTTAGAACCTTAATTTGTCACAATATATACCTTTTGAGTTTCACTTATTCCTTAATCAAAACCATGTCTACCTTTTGGTTGTAAAAACATTCCTAGTGCATGTTTCTTAACTCAAATTAAACCATATATGCCTTAATTTGATCTTAAAACGGAAAAAGAGAACCATGGATCGAATTAAAAGAAAGAAAGAGAATTAATGACCAACTAACGTTTTGTTGCCAGCATAGATCGCATAAAGAGGATGTGAAGGTACAACAATGGTAGTACTCGAACTAATATTAACAATGACACATCTTTTCTTCTCAACCAATCCTTCAATCACAACTCTTGTTACCAAACTGGTACCTATCACATTTACTTTCATCACATTCATCCAAACTTCTTCAACCTCATGAAAAAACCTAGCCGCAGGATAAATCACCCCAGTATTATTCACCAAAATACCCTAGTCTAGTTGTTCACCATAAATCACCTTCTACATCTCCTTAAAATATGATGACCGGTTGTTTTAGTGAATAACTATAAAATAGTAGTATAGATCTTTTTAGATAACAAGTGGAAAATAATTCGTAATGCAGCTTTGAACTTATAATGTGGAAGCCAATTAAATTCGTCGCATAAAATTGAAATCAAAATGTAAACGTTAATTTATAATGGATACTATTATACATGTTAAAATAACAACTTAAAATGGAATAAATGGTTGCCAACTATTCTTTTCCAATTACATGATAAAACCAATTGTAAAAGCCATACATCTCAATTTATTAAGATTTAAGTTTGTTCTAAAAATATTCAGAAAAAATCTAGTAAAAAAAAAATGTTTCCAGTTGTATTTGATGTTACAAAGATGTTTTGGAAAAATACATTCATTTTAACTTCTTGCTGAAATCAGAGAGCTGAAGAAGATGAATCCTGGAATAAGTTGCAGCTTCCTCCCTCTCTTTCTGAGTGTTGTACCCCCAGTCACCTGTGTAAAAATATTTGTACACGTGTTTTTAATTCTCGCATACAAAAAGAAATAAAACATACGACTTTTTAATTTAATCAATAAAACGAAATGGTACAAATCTATCTGAATTATCTATGAAGAACAACATAGATGAAAAAAAAAAGAGAGAAAATTGCAGGAGATAGCAACATACTTTACCTTTTTTACTAATATAGGCATTGTACTTTATTGTTTACCATAATTGCTATTAGTTACATTTTTTTATCAATATTGGTATGGAGATTAAAGAAGGTTGCTATATTTGCTCCATTTCTAAGGAAAAGAAAATAGAGGGAAGTTTTGAGATGTTGTTACCTAGATACAAGTTCCATCCATTTAACTCGGGTTCTTTGATGACATTTTTTAATGTTGCTAGTCGATCTTCCACGAAGCTGGTAAAAGCAAAAAAGATAAAGAAAGTTTGTGGATGTTCTTGGTGATTTTCAAACTCCAGGGACCAAATTAGAAATTAGCACAAAGTTGGTTCCGGTTGTTTGCCATTTGGTGACTTACTGTAGGGTGAGACCTTGGTGTTCAGGTTGCTTCTGAAGCATCTTCAGCACTTCTACTTTTGGACTAATTTTGGAAGTTGAAAAAAAAAACAGAATTTGGTTAAAGAAATCAAAACTATTTAATTTTTTACAAGTTCTTTTAGTAAAGACACTCACCCAGTTCCAAGACCATATATTCTTTCAGGTGGTAAGGTAACTCCAGCAAGTTCCCGCAATAATGCATCAGCAAAACGACCCTGAAAAAGTTACAAAATTTACTATGTAATATTAATATGAACAAAATACCCTTCGAAAACCATCAAAACGTGAAAAGGGAGGGTACTTGTTTTGTGGTAACTATATAGATTTGTGAACTGGCAAACTTCAATGCATCAGGAACACTTGGATAAAACCTATAAAGGAAATAAAAATGACACCAGACTTCATAACTTTGTTATCTACAAAATTATATTAGTAAAATATGAATTTTAATTTAAGCACAAAATCATAATTCACCTGTTAGCTCCAATCCAGGTAGCCAAGTCATTCTCAATCCATTCATCCCTAACTTTTCCAAACAAATCTACAAGGGCATCTCTGTTTTCACCCCATTCTTCCATTATTACTGGTTTTATCTTTGACCAGTTTTCCAATATTCCATCAATTGTGAGCCCTTCAGCCACCTTGAACATTAAATGAAAAGTAATCATGTTTAAACACACTATCAAACCATTAGGTGATATTAATATGGTAAAATTTTGTTATTTATATACACACTGATGACTTGCGCAATGATGAGATCTTAATCTCCAGAAGCAATCTCACAAGTAACAGGTTCTCATATCCAGTTTCCACTACAGGCCGCACCTGCCACAGATACACAAATTTATCTGAGATACAATTGTAGGTGAAAGGTGTGATATTTTAGAGGTAATATCAAGTCAATACTTCAAACTTTAAAATAAAATGGAGCAAGTTCTAATTGCACAATGGGTGTTTGATGGAGTTCAACATCACTTAATTGGCCTACACATTGAACTCAATTAGTCAAGTATGGTTGAAAACCTCACCAATTGAACTTATTACATCATTCAATCATAAGAATCCAACACTAAATTTTCCAATAACTTTCTAATTTTGTTACAAAGTCCTCACGATAACATCTAACATACCCTCAATAACTAATAAATAAGTGCAACAGCAATCCGGTTAATCTTTGATTCTCAGGCGTAGATCCCTTTTCGGTTTCTATGTAGCATTGTTCAACCACACATAAGTTACAGGCTAAAACAACCTAATTTCCATAAAAATTACAAAATAATCGGTACAAATCATAAACACGTAACGAAGAGAAAACATACTATGTGCATCTGATCAACAATCCAATCCTCCATTGATGAATCCACGGTAACAAACAATTCTGGCCATCTCAGTTTAGCTGCCTGTATCAGTCAGTCGAACCAATTCAATCCTTCAATTCTACCGATTTACATATACGTTTACACAAAAAGCTCAAATTAGCGAAGACGTGTGGGTGTGAATCAGAAAGAGATACCTTAACAGCAGAAATCGAGCTCTCTCCGCAGCTATCACATAGAACTCCATCGAAATCCAACGCATACAGATCCCCCATTTCTCTCTCTTTCTAATCCAGTCGGTAGGAAACGACTGGAGAGCTTGAACTCTTCGTTGCAGTCCAAGAGATTTCAATTGAAAGCCTCCATTTTTGTCTCTCTCCACGTCTACACTCAGTCCGTGCGAAAAAAAAAATGTATTTTTTTATTCAAAAGTGGTTGTTATGTTTTGTCAAAAATTATCATTTTGGTTCAAAACATTTTGGGAGTAACAATACTGGTCCCTAATAGAGTTTTTAAAGTGGGTCCAAACCCGGACTGGATGGACTCGGACTAGGAAAACCCGAAACCTGTTAACAATATTTTGTAGGACCGGAAACCATACCAGTATATAAAAACCGTTTCCGAATATGGTACCGATTAAAGTGTGTCTAGAACCGGTAAACCCAGAAACTTGCAAAGATTATAAAAGTCCTGATCTCCAAGCTCTAGACACAACAATCCTCAAGGATAAACTTCTCATTCTTCCACAACGCACCAAGAACACTCCAAATCACTCAAAGTCCTCAAGAATCTCAAAATGGGGCTAGAGTTTCGAGGGAACTGCTTTAGATAATGGAGGCGGGAGATAAGAAGGGTTTCCAAAGGGTTAAGATCTTTAAATAGGGTCCAAGACCTAAAAACTAGGGTTTGACCCTGCCACAAGTACGCCCAGCGTACTAGAGAGAAACCCCACGACCAGATTAAGTGAAGTACGCCCAGCGTACATGCCATGTACGCCTAGTGTACAGGCCAAATCTCATTTCCATTCTAACTCCCAATAACCATAACATATTCGTCCCAACTCCGTTTTCGACGTTCTTTATATGCTCGGAAAGGTAATGAAAAACCCTTCAATCCCATCTAATCTCCTTTGACTTAGAACTTACCGAACTAGAATCCTTATTTCATGAAAGAAGTCTGAAGCATCACTTTTACCATTATACCATTTGACTAAAAAACACAAATTGAGAGTTGGATCACATAACCTATATAATCCATATCCCCATTGGCTCTAAAACCCAAGCCCTTTGAATTCCAAGGCCCTTACTTGTTCCACTAAATGCCCATGATTCCCGAAATAGGAAACTTCTCGAAACCGGATGTTATATATATATATATATATATATATATATATATATATATATATATATATATATATATATATATATATATATATCGACATATTTGTGGTGAGTTGAGGCAATAAAGATTTGTACTGAAGGCCAAGATACTCGGGCGGACCAACTTCATGCTGAAGGCTAGGTGCAGACCAACTTTTTGTTGAGCCTTAAAGGCAAGGGTGCATACAAGCTTTATGCTGAAGGCAAAAGTGGCAGACCAACTTCGTGCTGAAGGTTAATGTTTGTATGTTTGCATGTATTATAATGTTTATGATATTTTGGAAAACCCATTGAATTTTAGCTTATAATTATGGATTAAATGTTTTAGGTACTTAAGATGATCGTGGGAAGACGAATGCGTGACTGTACACACTCATCAACAGTTTTTGTACTTTGTGATTCCGCATTTATTTATCATACTCCGATTTTGGGTTTTTGTCTCTTGAAAACAAATGATTTTATTGGTTTTGGTTTATGAAGATGGTGTTTGATTTTAATTAAAAATAAAAAAAATATTGTGAAAATTGAGACGTTTCAAATAACTCTATTATCTTATTTACATTTTTTTCCACATAATGGTTATTAATACTCAATTATATCATTTTTCTTGTTAATTAAATACCTTTTGGGTTTTAGGTAAATGGTGTGGTACACATACTTAAAAACCTATTAATATATATACATATATATATATATATATATATATATATATATATATATATATTGTTGTAAAATACGACGGATCCAAATTGACTTAAATAATATTAGCTCAATGCGGAATGTGATCAAAAATTATCAAAGCGTAATAATCACAACGTAATACGAATAAAATAAATAGAATAGAGACACAAGAATTTACGTGGAAACCCAAATCGGGAAAAAAACCACGGGCGGAGGAAGCCGAGAAACAATTCACTATAATTTGCAGTGTTTACAGGGATTATGAAAGAGATTACAAAATAGAGTGGGAGAGCTAAAATACACGGTGGTGTATCAGTATATATATGTAATACTTTTCTATATATACTTGGATAATTTTTTGGTTGTGTTGAAACTTCTCTGGCTCAGGCTATTTATAGCCAAAGAGAATACCAATTGCAAAATAAAATGTCGTCCAAATTGTAGGCGTCCAATTGTAGGCGCCTATTAATTATATCTGTGCCTTCAAATTATTCAATTTCACATATACTATTCATAGTCAAATTTTGAATGCGCCTAACAAAAGAGTTCACCGTCCATTCTTTCATTCACATATATATTACTATTCATAGTCAAACTATGAATAGTAAATGATAAGTTACTGAAATAACCCCTGAACTATTTGCCACTTGCTAATTTTGGAGGCAACTTTTCCACAATCTCCACCTTGACATCAAAATTAAGCAAGTCATGCTTTACGATTAGTCAAAAAAACTATAGCTCATAAAACTCTAAAACTTCCATAAGAATCTGCAAATTTTATATAGAGAAAAAATTGTTTCCGAAAAATAAATAATACTTCCTCCACCATGAGCCTTCAGGCTCAACTGCGATCAGAAACACCCACCATGTCCAAACATAATTTGAACTTGGCTATAGGAAGACTTTTGGTGAACATATCAGCGGGATTATAATCTGTATGAATTTTGTCCACAACACAATCACCTTTTTCAATGATATCCCGCACAAAATGATAACGAATATCAATATGCTTTGTTCGGTCATGAAACATTTGATCTTTACTCAGGAAGATAACACTCTGGTTGTCACAGAAAACTGTGGTCACCTTTATTCTATCATCGAGTTCTCCAAATAACCCCTTCAACCAGATATCTTCCTTAACTGCTTCTATAATCGCCATGTACTCTGCCTCGGTAGAAGACAGGGCAACTGTAGACTGTAACTGGGCTTTCCAACTAACAGCACAACCATTTAGAGTAAACACATACCCTGTAATTGATCTTCGTTTATCCAAATCTTTGCCATAATCTGAATCAACATATCCGAACACCCCAGTGTTAGATTTACCAAAACTTAAACACATAGAAGACGTACCGCGTAAATAACGAAAAATCCACTGTACTGCTTTCCAGTGTTCTTTCCCCGGGTTCGCCATGTATCTACTAACCATGCTAACAGCATAAGCCAAATCAGGGCGCGTGCAGATCATAGCATACATCAAAGATCCAACAGCACTAGAGTATGGAACACGTGCCATGTAAGCCATATCAGTCTCATTAGTAGGACTCAAAGCGGATGATAGCTTGAAATGAGCTGCAAAAGGTGTGTTGACAGACTTTGCTTCGTGCATACTGAAGCGTCTTAGGACTTTCTCAATATAACTTTTCTGAGAAAGATGCAAGATCCTAGACTTCCTGTCACGAATAATTTCCATACCTAAAATCTTTTTTGGCAGCTCCTAAGTCCTTCATTTCAAATTCAGCTTTCAACTGGTCTTTTAACTTCTGAATCTCCTTTATATCTTTCGCTGCAATCAACATGTCATCCACGTACAAGAGTAAGTAGATCTTTGAACCATTGTCACCTTTCTTAAAATAAACGCAGCTATTATAGGTGCACCTGCTGAATTTGTGACTGGTCATGAAAGAATCGAACCTCTTGTACCATTGTCTAGGAGACTGCTTGAGGCCATAAAGAGATTTGTTCAACTTGCATACGTAGTTCTCCTTTCCAGGAACTACAAAACCTTCAGGTTGTTGCATAAAAATCTCTTCCTCAAGCTCACCATTTAGGAAAGTTGTAGTGACATCAAGTTGTTCTAACTCAAAATCGTTAGAAGCAACCAACCCCAACAATACACGAATGGAAGTATGTTTGACAACTGGGGAATAAATGTCAGTGTAATCAATACCAGGAATCTGAATGTAGCCTTTAGCTACTAACCGAGCTTTGTATCTTGGTTTATCATTTGGGTTGACAGGTTCCTTGAGCTTGTAGACCCACTTGCATTTAACTGGTCTCTTCCCTTTCGGAATAGGAACTAAATTCCAAGTACTGTTTCGCTGCAAGGATTCCATCTCATTTTGCATAGCGAGCATCCAATCATTTGAGTCTTCAGATTTGATAGCCTCGTCATAATTTGCAGGCTCCGTTGCATACTCAATATTATCAGCAACAATAAAAGCATAGGCAACCAAATCAGATTCAGCATACCTCTTCGGAGGAATAATCTGTCTTCTCGGTCTATCTCTTGCAATGCTTGGAGTAGTAGCTTGTGGTTGTGAAGGTGTTGAATCTTCACCAACAACATGCTCATCCGACGAAGAAGAATCTTGATGCTGATTTGTACTCTGATTAGTGGTAGGTGAAGTAGGAAGCTCCACCTCCATTTGAGCATTCTCTTTATTTGCTTCGGATGATACATCTGATGCATCTGTTCTTTTAGAAGAGTCAGCAACTGGTTGAAATATAGCAGACTCATCAAAAGTAACATCTCTTGAGATGATAATTTTCTTCAAATCAAAGCTCCATAACTTGTAACCCTTTACACCTTGATTGTACCCAAGAAAAACGCATTTGATTGCTCTTGGTTCTAGCTTCCCATTGTCAACCCGTGCATACGCTGGACATCCGAATGGTTTTAAATCTGAATAATTTGCAGGTTTACCGGACCATAATTCAAACGGAGTTTTCTTCTCGATTGCTCGTGACGGTGATCGGTTGATAACATAGCAAGCAGTCGAAGCAGCCTCCGCCCAAAAAGACTTTGGCAATTTGGATTAGAAAGCATACACCGGACCTTCTCCATAATGGTGCGATTCATTCTTTCAGCTACACCATTTTGTTGAGGTGAATGGACTACTGTGCGATGTCGAGTAATGCCTTCCTTTTGACAATAGACATTAAACTCTTCTGAGCAAAACTCAAGTCCATTATCCGTACGAAGATACTTTACCACCAGACCTGATTGCTTTTCAACCTGAACTTTCCAATTTCTGAAGGTAGAGAAAACGTCTCCTTTATTTTTTAAGAAGAAAGACCACACCTTCCTGGAGAAATCATAATAATAGTGAGCATATAAATAGCTCCACCTTTTGAAGCAACTCGAGCC